AATAAGTGTGTGTGCGTGTACGTGTGTGAGTATGCTCGTTCCACATTGCATTTGTGCTCTAGTATCAGGCCTTCGTTTTTGTGTGGCCATTTTCAGATTTATGCAGGATTTATTTATTTTATTTGCCAATTTCTGTACAAATGCTCTCTGTTGCAGTCACACGTGTTTGTGTGTGTGTGTGTGTGTGTGTGTGCATGTGAATGAGCATGTCTTTTCTACATTCCATTTGTGCTCTAGTACCAGGCCTTCATTTCTGTGTGGAAATTTTTAGATTTATGCCAGATTTATAGATATTTATTTTTATTTTTTTGACAAATGAAAAAAAAAAAATATATACTTTTTTTCGCATTTCCCATTCATTTCAATGTGGGGTCATATTGACCCCAAATACCAGATTAGTAAAAAAAAATTTTTTTTACATACCTTCAGAACAACCGAATCAACCCCAGTTTTTTTTTATGTGAATATAAATAGAAAATGTAGAAAAGTCACAATCTTATTCCACTGAGATGAAGGGAACCAATTATTATTATTATTATTTATTTTTTTAACTAGGTAAAAGTTGATTGGGGTCATATTGACCCCAAGGACAGATTGAGGGTTAAACGATGTGATGACATTATGGATGTTGATGTCATTTTTGTAACCATAACTCAAAACTGCGTAGAACACTCAATGAAATTACTCAAATTTTCTGTACTCATTTTCACTAGCATTTTACCTGTATTTTAAATTACACATTGTACTCGGATAGACAGATAAGATGAAAAAGATTGATTTTCGTGAAAATTAGTTAAACGGTGTACAACTATAGGTGCATACTAACAACTAAGGTGTATCATAAAGAAATTATTATTATTATTGAACAAGTACAACTAGCAACCTAATTCGCATGCGTTGTGCATACTGTTAGGCACCTCTCTCCAAGTCTCTACCAGCTGATGTGCTGCTTGGCTAGCTAGCTGTTTCAATACTTACTACTACTACTACTACTTGTGTGGTTAAGAGGAAAAGCATGTCTTTTCATAATTTTATCACTTTTTAAATTTTGTCAAAGTAGTCATATTTCTCCTGCTACTTCTAATCTCTCTTCCTTTTCAGTGGTCTCCAGCTCCCGTAGCACACTCGCGTGAGGCTGCCTCTGCTAGCTGTGCAGGCTGCACAGGCTCTCCAGCATTTTCCCCCAAATATCACAAGCCCCCGTGGCCTACAGCTACAGCAGCTGAAACAAGTGCAAAGCTGCTTACGCTTGCAACACATGACCTCACATCTCAGTCTTTTCCTCCTGTTACTTCTAATCCTTTTCCTTTTCAGTGGCCTCCAGCTCCCATAGCAGATGCTAGCATGAGGCTGCCTCTGCTAGCTGTGCAGGCTGCACAGTCTCTTCAGGATGTCACAAACCCCACTCCCATCCCGTGGCCCAGACAGCGCCGCACGCAACGTCGCCCGCTGGCATGGCTTCCCAAACTCCTATCCTTCCCACTCCCTTCCTTCTACCTCCGGCGGCAGACGTTAACGTGAGGCTGCCTCTGCTAGCCACTCAAGCTCAGGCACCTTACTCTCACCCTTCCGCTACTCCTTTTCCCTATCAATGGCCAGCAGGCCCCGCTACAGACATCCAAGCAGGGCATCATCAGCCAGCAACGCAAGCTTACTGGCCTCCTCCCTCATTTCCTTCTACCTCTTCCTACGTGCTTCCCTAAGCACCAGAGGCTAATCCGTACGTGAGGCTGCCTCCGCAAAAGGTTACGGCCCCTCCTTATCTTCCTTCTAACCCTTCTCTCCAATCTAAACCTCAGTACACTTCATTCACAGCAGTCCCACCACTTACCCCACCGAATGTTGCAGCTCAGGAACCACCCCCCGTGCCTAATACCATCAAGTCTCAGATT